AATCTGAAGTCTTAAAAAATAAGCAAGTTGCATGAACTGTACTAGAAGTTCTATGATGCAAAAGAGATAAACAGGGTCATTTAAGAACTCCAGATAGAGCCTAAAGTAATAGATGGCCTTATCAAAACAAAATGATACCCTGCTTAGAATTCCTGCATCCCTGCTTGTTGGTTAAGTTTAAATAGTTTCTTTTAGTAAAGCCAAAGACAAAGAGAACTCTGCAGATACTGTTCAAGCTAATAAGAGTTGCTCTGAATAGGTTTATTGTGAACTTGAAACTCTAAGCCTCTTCTCCCATCAGATGATAATCAAAAAGGCAAACTCAAATTTGCTGGAAACTCAAGCCTGCCACAGTTACGTAAGGTTTCTGAATGGGCCATTCGTTTGAAGTTTCTCATATAGTGTCACAATTGTATTCAGGTTGTTGGACTGCAGAAATAAAGTTTCTGTCCTCATCAAGCATGCAATTATTTTCTCAGAGACACAAATTCCCTGAAGAACACGGGGAAAACTAAACTCTAAACAATCCATTAAACAGGAAACTCACTTGCTGTCAGTTATGGAGCCTAATGAAGTCTGAAGCTATTCTGTTTACCCTGAGAAAGAGAAGATCAAACAGTGAGCAGATAAGATACAGTTGTAAAGCTACCACAGTCTCTCTCAAAGAATCAGTGCAAACAGGTTAGCATAAAGCTCTACGCATTTTAAGTGACACTGTATATTTCTGTGCTCTTTTTGCAGAGAATATCACCCATCTCATTTGCAGCAAACAGTACACCATTATTCTAAGGCCTGAGCACCTGAACAAGGCTGCTGCTAATCTGACTTCCAATTCAAACTTAATTATATATACCTTTTTTAACAGACTGATCAAAATATCACAGTTGTTAATTTTTGAAACCCACTTCCTGGAGGAGTTGTACTCAATTAAAGACTGAAAGGTATTAGGTTTTACGTTATTCAAATACATGGTTCAGAGAACACGTAGCAGCTACTTGACCAGCCTACAAACTTTTAAAGAACTACACAAAGATAAACATGTACTAGACTCTCTCCCTAGCAGACAACATTGGTGACAAGCTGATGGAGGTCTAGTAGACCCTAATTAATAAGTTGTGCTCATATGATACAACCCCTTGAATGCCAAAACATGGAAAGCTAGGGAGTTTCTTCTGTTTAAATCCAGTGGCTGTGTTTTTGTAGAGGCCTTTCCCACCATGTTATCCACAATCTGTGCTCCCACACATGCCCATGCTCCTCTAACAGCACAACTTCATTTACCTATATTAAAATGCTGTCATCTACCCAGGTTCTTCCTAGCCATTCTCAGATATACCAAGGTAATAACTCACTTGTACCACCTTCTAGGAAAACATTCCCTGGAACGTCACCTTGCAAAATACCTACTCCTTACACTAGCAATGAGAATCACTGCCAAGGCTGTGGATTTATTAGCACTGGGATGTGAAAGAAACAAAGCATGGCCCGAAGTAAAACATTGCAACACTGTGGTACAGCCCTAAAATAAATGGTCTTGTCCTATACAAGCATGGCAGTATATGCTGAAATACAAATGTTTACACTAGCATGAAGAATGTCAAAGATTAACCACCACTCATCAACAAGCAAGACACTTTCTGTAAGAGCATCTGGAGATGTTGTCACAGTTTGAAGTTTGAAGGCCACAGCTGCACAGTTATGAGTTTCGACGTTTTGATTAGATTCCGGCTGCTTCATATTCAAAACATTATCAATAAACCATTTCTTCCCCTGGCAATCTTACTATTTATGATAATATGAATTCCTGGAAGCAAAGGCAGATCAAGCTTGGGCTCTCCTAAACCCCTCTTCATTCCAGGACTATATCTTATACCACAGGATTCTTCCAAGTAAATTTTTGCCTCAACAATCCAAAGTTGTCTTCCATGAAGTCCAGGGCTGTGAACCCACTTTTTCTCTTGCTTATCCTCTCAGGATCCTCAATTCCACCACTTCATGTTCATTGTAACAAGGCTTCTCCCAAGCCTTCACACCTCCAACCAGTTCTTCCTTGTTTTTAAGTAGGAGGTCTAGCAAAGCATGTCCCCCTCTTCTGCTTCTCAACCGCCTGTTACCAGGAAGGCATTCCAGAATCCTCCTGATTTGTTTGTGGTCACCTGTGCTGTGCTCTAGCACAGGCGATTGATGTGGTTGAAGCCTCACCATGAAGACAAGGGCCTGTGAATGTGAGGCTTCTTACAGCTGCCTGAAGAAGGCAACTTCCTTCTGAACAGAAGATCTGCAGCAGACACCTCTCACCACATCTTCCACATGGGTGATCCTGTTAATCCTGACCCATAAGCTCTCAACTGGCTCCTCATTCAAACCAAGGCAGGGCTCTGCGCACGTTAGCACACTGCATGTAACCAATACCCTCGGCAGCTATTCCTCTCCTACCTTCAATCTTGCACCACTGAATCCCCAAAAGCTGCACCTCACAGCAACAGTGCCTTGTAGCCTTGCCCAACCATACCGAGGAACAAAATTATTTTCAAGAGTTTTGTGACTTCCTTTTCTCAGTAAATTCAATCGAGCTTCAAATAGCAGGTAAATAGTT